GGCGATCTACTGGCACTAGGACGCGTAGCGGGCGGGCACATGAAAGCTGCCATTCGACGGGACGATTCTGTTGGTCCAGGCCTGCATTGGGGCATACCCATAATGCCAAAGCTAAGCAAGGACAGTGCATCAATGGATCAGGCTTGGCCAGCGACGAGCTCGAGTTTGTCCGATAGTCAGTCGATCGATCGATGACTCCGAGGGACAGCTGCCCGAGTTTCGATTGGGGGCTGGCTGGCAAGCTGAGAACAAAGAAGGGCGATCCGCGACGTTTATTGGAGGCTTTTGGAGAGGACCCTGGTAATTCTGTTGAGAAACCCCAACGACGACCCCCCCCCCCCCCCCCCCTTCTTGGACCGGTGAAGGGACCGCCGGTGGGAGGTTCAAGGTTGGTTGCCTTATCGGTGCGGGGACACAGCGCGAGGCCACCAGAGGTTGATTGCCCATCGGCCCCAGAAACGGGCAGTTGTGGTCAAGAGACTACGGCGAACGACGAAGCTGAGTAAGCATTTCCTGCTTATACGAGGCGGGGGAACAGGCCATGTTCGACATCTAGTAATACTGAGAGTACTATGTAGTATGCGGCAGAGGACAGCTTTGCAGCAGGCGCCAGGCCAAGCTTTTGCGACATCCACCGCCTGGCATGTCTCGCGATCGGATTGGGCCGATTAGAACCAGGGGGGGCTATACCAGGTTATTATGTGCAGCCAGTCTGAAACAAAGAAAGACGACATATTTCGAGTTTGGAGCGGTTGGGCGGAGGCAGGCAAGGCAGGCTGTGTGAGCCAGAGCCAATATGAAGACTGGCTACCTGACACACAATCCCACCCCCCTTGCATTTGATCATATCGTGGGCAGGTCTGGTCGGCGCTCTATCTTTCCTCATACAGTACGTGGCTGGAGAAGCTCTTGTAATCACATAATTGGTGCCTGGCACAAGCTCCAGTCTAGATAGAGGTGGCAAAAAGAACAGGATCTCACTTGCAGAGCACTACGGCTGTCTGGGCAGTAGTGTGACCCTACGGTGAGGGGCGGCGGCCCAGTAGGCTGAGCAGCAAAAACTAGACATCTGGATAATGAGGAATTAGGGGTGAGGTCAAAGCTCGGACAGCTCGGAACATGGCCCAACGCGCAAGGACTGCGCTCGGATAACCTTCATACCCAATTGCTCAGGGGTGGTGGTTGAAATGGCAGCGGCAAGGTGAGGTAGGGCAGTAATTCTGGTACGGTTACGGATACTGGTACGGGCTGCCGCCCAGGCAGACAGGGCGGTGCATGGAACCCGCGGGTTAGGGTGACTGACAACGGTTGTTGCGAAGCAGCGTCTGGCGGCTACCTGCTGTAGTGGAAAGTCCGGGCTTGCGCGTCCACGCTACTCGATTGACGGGTGGTCCTTCTCAAGCCAGTCAATCAGTCTTGATCGCAAGTGAAGAGTGCGCCGTGGTGGGAAAGTGGGAACAAGAGATAGGGGTCTTGGAGTTTTCTTGGATCATTCGCTATGTCTCTTCCCTCTTCGGGAGCTTCAAGCCACTAAGATGCAGCAGCCCAGTGACCGTGTAGCGACCAAGGCAGCCACTCACAGGCCTAGAGGCTGACCCTCGCTCTAGCCTGCAGCGCTAATTATAATACTTAGGTGTATCCTGGCAAGCCTGGGGCCTCGTTTCCGGGTGCCTCTCCTGCCTGGGCCACTAGAACCGCAGCGTTGCTAGTGGTGGTGCCCCATCTGTCCTGGTGCCGGGCAGAGAAATCCTTCTGCCCTCATCTCTCTGCGCGCGAGAGAAAAAAATAACATCCCTCGAACAAGAGATCCCGCAACACAAGCGAGAGCACAGCGACCGACACAATACAGTGTCCACCGACGGAGAATCCTCATAGAGCCATCTCCCACCAACGATTTTGAGAACACGGGTCAGTGTATTCATTTTTGAATTTGCTACCCCTTATCGGCGAGACAAGAGCGAGCGACCGTGACTCCTATCAACCGAGTGCGCTGCCTCCCTTTGAGCACGCGAAAGCGAAGCAACACCAAGCGATCTTCCCCAGCGAGCGACTTTTGGCCTTCGGACCAGACTAGGCGACGACGTCTGCAGACGACCAGCGGACGCTTCTGATCTCCATTTTATCGGACCTCATCGACACTGATTTCTAATCCGTCGACGCTGTGCTGAGCATCCCTCTCCAGGCCGCCGTGGCAACTACGACGACGACACGACAACCGCGAACCCGTCGTGATCCTACGAAACCCAACAGTCCCCAGCATATCTCAACCGAGTGGATAACACTCCCTTTCTGAACCAGAGTGCGCCCGGGTAATTTTTTTCTATTTACCCACCCTTGTGCTGATTCCTCCGCGCGGCGAGAGGCTTCCCCTTTTACCAGAGCTGTGATCGCTTCAGAGTGAGTTGGCCCGCCCTCTGCTACCCGCTACGTCCCAAAACTCCAGACAGACTTAGCCTGCCTTGGCTGCTGCGGCCCCTCCTCCCCTCCCACCTCAACACCACCATGTCATTCATTGTCAGCCGAATTTTCTCTGCCTTCCGTCGCTACCCATAACACTTTGCTTCTTTATTGAGCAAAGCTTTACCCTGCCGGCTTTCTACTCGCCGATTTGTCTTGTTTTTTTTCTCTCTCGTTTCTTCAATCAATCCTGGTGCTTGCAAATAGCTGACTCGCATTTTTCTCGTCGTCGTTTCAGTTGCAGGCCTTCCCATTCGAAGTGCATCATCTGAGTGCCCATCAGCAGCCCGTAATCCCTGTGCGTGACGAAGTTTCTCCATCTCCCCCGCTGCTGCAACTCCATCTTGCGCATCGGTGAGATCTGGCTGTTTCCCTGCCACGCGCAGTCGTCCCCCCCACGGTATTTGCGAGCCACTCCCAGAAGCGAGGACACACAACACAATGGCAGACCAACACGAGGTTGATCTTGACTCAATAATTGACCGGCTGCTCGAGGTGCGAGGCAGCCGACCCGGCAAGCAGGTCCAGCTTCTCGAGGCTGAGATCCGCTTCCTCTGCACCAAGGCTCGAGAGATCTTCATTTCTCAGCCTATCCTCCTCGAACTCGAGGCACCTATCAAAGTGCGTTTCTTCCTTGCCCCTCATCACCACCTTCCCCCCCGCCCTCCCCTGTCCGGATATTCCGCATTGTAGATGGTGACTAATAATCATATTGCAGATCTGCGGCGATATCCACGGACAATACTATGACTTGCTGCGCCTTTTCGAGTACGGTGGCTTCCCTCCGGAGGCCAACTACCTCTTCCTCGGTGACTACGTCGACCGTGGTAAACAGAGTCTCGAGACCATCTGCCTGCTCCTGGCCTACAAGATTAAGTACCCCGAAAACTTCTTTGTCCTGAGAGGAAACCACGAGTGCGCTTCCATCAACCGTATCTACGGCTTCTACGACGAGTGCAAGCGCCGATACAACATCAAGCTTTGGAAGACCTTCACAGACTGCTTCAACTGCCTGCCAATTGCCGCCATTATCGACGAGAAGATTTTCACCATGCACGGAGGTCTGAGCCCCGATCTGAACTCCATGGAGCAGATCCGCCGTGTCATGCGACCCACTGATGTATGCAACTGCCTTTGTAGTTTGTGCCATTGATGTATGCTAACATACTCTTAGATTCCCGACTGCGGCCTGCTATGCGATCTGCTCTGGTCCGACCCTGATAAGGACATCACTGGGTGGAGCGAAAATGACAGAGGTGTCTCGTTCACGTTCGGCCCGGATGTCGTGTCGCGCTTCTTACAGAAACACGACATGGATCTTATTTGCCGTGCCCATCAGGTCGTTGAGGATGGATACGAGTTCTTCTCCAAGCGACAGCTTGTCACTCTGTTCAGCGCGCCCAATTACTGTGGAGAATTCGACAACGCAGGTGCCATGATGAGCGTTGACGAGAGCTTGCTCTGTTCCTTCCAGATCTTGAAGCCTGCTGAGAAGAAACAAAAGTAAGTGTTTGATTCTCCGATCTGTCGATCCAAACTGCCAAGCAGAATTCCCAATCTTTTCAGATCTCCCTCGGATATACTAACCATCACCTAGATTCGGACGACGATAAGCGACACCCCCTCTCCTTGCAGATCTAATCACCACTTCCTCGGACTGTGACTGGTTCGTCTCTGCGAAGCTTCTTCCGTCTCGCCATAATCTCGCCGCCTCGCTCCCCCGCCGGGTCTGCCATCCGGGTTGCTGTTGGGCGTTTCCCTCGGACCGTGGGAATATCGAGCGTGTCGAAACATACATGTAATGCCTCGACGGGCTCTAAGATCACTAATGCTCATACGCAAACTTGATCACGACAATCGGCTGTTTGTTAGCTCTCAGATTAAATATGCACACAAAACTCTATGATTTTACACCTTCAACCAGGGTCCAACCGTCCATTCCTAACAGTTATATTTCCGATCCCCAGTCTTTGATGTTATCTACTACTGACATGAATGCGCCCTGTTGTAGCCTCAGTATACGATCCAAGGTAGCTAAATAATGGCCTTAGCAAATGTAGAGTAATGATCGTGTTAAGTCATAACCCAATTGCCAGAATCTAGCTTTTTGCTCAAACCAGTCCCCAGCCAGCCGTGCATGGACACCCAGTTTGATATGACGAATAAGGATTCCCCAAGCAAGTATAGGATGACTGAGTACGGAAGCTAGCTTTTTATGTTTGCAGTGTTTCCAATATGAGAAGACCAGTCCAAGGAGTCTAGACGAGACACCCCTAACCCAGTGAAAGATGTTAGATTGATGCTACCTTGGGTAGCGATCCCGAGGCTCCTCTCTGGTCCAAACAACCTGTCCCTTCGTCTACCTGAGGAGAGGATCAATTGCAAGAAGATAACGAAACAGTATGGGGGTGGTATGCTGGTATCAGATTATGATTCTTCCAGGTGTGCTTCCATTGCTTTGCCAGGCTCTCATTGGCTCTAGCTGCATTGTTCTTCGATTGTCAAATCGCAACTTCTCCAAGGAGTGAGTGAGCCACCCATCATCATTGGCAATCCTCGCATGCCTTCCCCTCCCCAGCACCCTCCTCACCCTTCCCCTTGGCCCCCTCCTCCCCCTCCTCGGGACTCTTCGTCGCCGCTGTAGGAGCCGCCTCCTTCGAAGCCCCGTGCCGGTCGACGTGGCCCAGGTCCCGCCCAGGCTCGACCACGTCCCTGACCCGCCGCTTCAGCTCCTTGGTCTCGGGGAACCCGCCGTCGGCCCGCCGGTCCCACAGGACCTTCCTCTCGCCGCCGCCGTGGTGGATGGCGACGATGAAGGTGCCGCCCGTGGAGGGCTGCAGCGCGACCTCCCCGAGGGCGAGGGAGAAGGTCGAGAGGAGTTCCTGCGCGTACTGAACGGCCGGTTGCGCCGGGGCTCGTCAGCGGTATGTTTTTTTTTAATATGGGTTTTGGGGGCGAGAAGGTGGGAGATGGTGAAACACGGAGGTTGCGAAACCAGAGGGGAAGGAGGGGGTTTTGGGATTGGGCTGGGGGGGACTTACATATGCGGCGCGGAGAAGCCATTTGCATTGGGTGCAAAACTCAATTGTGACTCTGGGGAGACGAGCTGGAACGCGCTGTTCTGTCGTTGGGGGCGCGGCTTTGGTGTCTGCCATTTTGACAATGGGCTGGCTGGAGGTTGTCGTTTGCCCAAGGTAGTCCTTACAAGAATTGATAGACAAGACGAATCGATAACTATCAAATAGCTGGGTAAATACGATGGGCAACGAGACAGAGACTAGCTATGTTGCTTCCAGAAGGGAAATGTTTTAATCTGCCACTCGCCTTGTCGATGTTGTTGACCGTAAGTGAGATAGACTTTCCGCTGGCCGCTATCGGTTACGGTTTGAGAAAGAACGCGGTGTTTATGACCCAGAGTGGGCGGGAGGTGACCCATCAAAGGTTATGCAAATGTACCATAGGCCACCATCAATCAACCCCTAGCTCGGGCTCGAGATGAACTTTGAGATTGTTTGAAGCAGTTATATTTAGATAGAAAAAGGTTACATGACATTGAATAAAGTGAAATAAAATGTGAGAAAGGGAAATAATTAGACGGTCGGGTGTCCCGGTTCCTTCAGACCGCAAAAAAAAGAGCACTCCCTCTCACCAATTCCACCGTTGCGGGACAATGCTTGGGCAAAATAAAGAGCAGTCGGTCCCTTGTCGGATGCCGCTGACACCAACCTCCACGTCTTGTCCCATCCCCGTCCCTCGCCCCCGTCATAAAAGCACCCAGGTATACGTCGAGTCAACAGGTCGCAATCGTGCTTTCGCAGACAGATTGCGCCAAGAGATAAATACATAGAGAAGTAACTGGAGTCGTCCTCTCCGCAAACATACGCTAGCTTAATCGTCATCGACGGTCGTGTTTCCCTAGCCATTTAATCCGTTGATGTTGTAATTTTTGATTGTTCGGTCCGTCCCTAGAGATCTACCAGGTTGCCGATAAAGGAAAGAAGAAAATTAAGCGGATATCATTTTACATGATCACGCAGCAGCCACCCGATTGTTGTGGCGCGTATGGGTCTTCGCCCTTGGGGACCTGGCCCCAGGTTGAGGGAACCATGTAGTCTCTCGTTCCGTTGCAATACGCGATGATGCTAATCAATGGTGAGTTGTAATTCATGGGGTAGTAGGTAGATATATGCCTTACCTCTTGGCAGCAGTGCTCACAGGGATGCGCTCGCGGTCGAGGTCTTCCCGTAGGCGGTTGTTGAGCTCAGTCAACCGTCGCAGCTTCAGATCAGCCATCGACTGCTTGTTCTTCTTGATCTGCGATGGGTCGCCAACATCGCGGGAGGTGTACTGAGGCATTATGATAGATGGTGATGGTGACTAAGGAAGGTAGGGAGGTATTAAACGTGAAGGTGGTTAGGGGTTTTCGAGTACGCCCGATCTGCGAATTGTCCAAGCGTCAGCAATATGGTTCATCAACAGGCCTCCGTTTTTGGTAATTCCCATGCCAATGAGAATGGAAGAGCGCAAAGATTCGGGTCTGTCGATGGTCGAGTCCGGTTTGAGGGGGATCGAGTATGTTATCGGGCGGCACGAGAAGGCGCGTCTTAGAAAACGGCAGCAGTTTATTGTGGTTGTCTCGCCTGGCCGCTCTCATCGAATCATACGGGCGTCATGCATGGATTAAATGCGTTGTGCCAAGGACCGTCGTATGTTATCAGAGAATGATGCAGCGCCTTTGTTATCGTATGCAAAAGCAGCATATATTTCGTCCCGAGTATATGGCTTGTCGTCGCTTTGGTTGTCCTGATCCGGCGTGCGCGTGCCATCCAGGCTCGTCCCCTTTTTCCCTCTCTTCCGGCCCCTGGGGTACGTCCAGCACCAAGGGAGAGACCACTTGGGCAGGCGAAACAGCAAAAAGGAAATCATGGCAATGACTTACCCAACACTTCTTTGCCTGTATGAGGTTTGTCGTCGAAAGACACTGGAAGGCGGATGTTCAATGACAGGGAGACGGAATGAGTGGAAGAGTCGTGGGAAGCCGTGGGAGGGAGTAGGTGGAGAGAGGGTGTGAGGATGTGGAGGGAGCGAGAGAGACACGGCAACAGCAGCACAACAGAGCTTCCTTCCCAAAGGGAACGGGGCGGACCAGGCTCACCTGGCGGCGACTCACAACCACCGGTGGAGTGGAGCCACCGACTCCAGTCTACTGCTAATTTAAAAGGCTGATTTACAGCGGACTCCAGGGGTTTAGTGCTCGCGGCAGGGGAGTGCTGCCGCACACTGGAACGCTGCCAGGTCGGCTCCAGCCCCCTCGCTAATCCTGGGCCTTTTCTCTCTCACTGTGCAAGATTCCTAGATTGGCTCTCTGCAGAGGATTGCAATTCCTCCTGCGTCTCCTGAGATATCATCACCGCCCCTTCTGACGTGCATCTTTGGGGGCGCTGATCCGCTACCTGCCAATACTCATCTTAGAGGCGCGAGACTACGGATCCCCAGCGAAGCTCTAGCGTCACCACCGCTCCTGTGCCCCCTCAATCAATTGAACTGACCAGGGCCAGATGAAGTCGCCCCAACGGGCATTTACCCATAAAAAATGGAGCCAGGAGCAATCAGTGAAGCTAGGACCTGCGCCGAGAGACTTACGTGCTGCAAAAGAAATTGAGGGATGCAGTTCTTCCGAGACTTGCAGTGGTATTGACCTGCCTCCCAGAGGATCCCTACCCCACCCAGTCGGCTCCTGCCTTTGCCTCCTGAGGCGGCAGGGTCCGTTTTGGTACTTTTAGGGGGAAAAGCTGCCTGCTAACTTGGCGTGCTCTGCAATCACGTGAAGTAGTTGATCGAACGTCGCGTAGCTGATCTCCATGCTTCCAGTCAATCATAGCCCACTGGGCTTGTAACATGATATTTTACGAGTTGTAGTGAAAATGCATGCGAATTGTTTCGATTTTGTGAGCAGAGGTGCAAATTATTGAGGCCTTTTTGAGTTTCAGGCCAACTACGGAATACATTCACAGAGTATCTAGCCCCAAGAAAATGACTGAACGCACAGACCTGGAGCTTTCGTCGTCCATTCAGGATGAAAACATTTGGAGGACGGCTGCTATGGCGAAGCGATACCACTTACCAAGTTAAGAACAGTCATTTTAGGAAGAAATGGAGGCAAGTTACCAGAGAGTTCACATCACCCTTACCGATATTCGTCTCTACAGACTATAGTTCTGATGGGGGGACATATATTAGCTTTCGTGAAACAGTAGCCATTTCTTGTATTGTAAGAGTAAGCACCAACCTCGCATAAGTCGCAACAGTAACAGTGTGTGAAATTCGTCATCATCGTGCTGCAAACCAACTTATAGGTGCTTTAATCTCCAGTATCCACCTCCAAGTCGAGCTGCACGCCGTTTGAAATTCCGTAATCCTCCAAGCTAAGCTGATCTTTGAATGGCCGTTCGCCCTGGCGCTTCAACATGATTTGCCCTGGTTCTCGACCGATACGTGCAGCCACCATAATCTTGAGCTCACGGATTGTATCAGATGGTAAGCATGGGATGGCAGATTTTGTGCCCAGGCGATCATTGATGTTCACCACAATCATTTCCTGGCCTGGAGCTGCAACGGGAACCGGGGGTTTCTTGTCCTTCTTGGCGGGCTTTTCCGAGTCATCCTTGATTTCCCTGTCTCTCCTTCGAGGGCGGTCATCATGTGATGGGCGAAAAGAATCGCGATCGTTTCGGCTTCGACCATCTCTTTCGCGGTCGTTTCTCTCGCGGTCATTTCTCTCGCGGTCGTTGTCGCGGTATGAGTTGCGGTGTCTAGGGGGGGACCGGTTGCGATAATCCCGTCGTCGGTCATTGTCTCGTCGATCCCTATCGCCATCATTCGAGCGACTCTCCTTCCATCTGAATCCACGGTTGGCTTTGGGTGGGCGTCGCCCAGGCGAACGAGAACGTGACCTTCGTCGCGAATCGTCCGCCATCTTCAACTTTTCTTAGTTCGTATGGGATTTTTCGGTATTGATAGCAGTGAAAGAGCTCTCTGCTAAAATAAAAGAGACGTTCAATATCCAGGTGTTGTTAGGCTGAAAATAAGATGGGGAATTATAGTGGGTCTTTCGAGTGCCTGTTGCCTTCACGTGATTCGACGAGCAGCGTGGTTGTGTTGTCTGGAAAAAAACACCAGGGCAAATGCGACCCCAAGAGGAAAAATGAATGAAATGCAAATCATCGGTTATGCAAATGCGAGAATGAGGGCCCGGCCCAGTATTTTCGAGGCATCGGCTTCTTTAATGGAAACCAGGTGAGTTGTCAGTTCTTTTGGCATGAAATCAATTTCTGGAGAGTAATGCGAAACTGCTGAGGTAATCGTTGTCTCACGTGATCTCGTTCATTCAGGTTAACCCCGCCACACACGAATTTGAAAAATTGATATCGAGGACGTGAGGCCTGTAACCCACGTTTTGAGAGGTACAGCCGGCTCAACCTGTGCACTCATTGACCCAACCACGGCGCAACCATCGCCAGAAGATACTTCTGCCAGGCTTGAGTCGATCCGCTGAGGAGGTTGCCCAATATGGTATGTATTGATATATTTATTTCCTACCAGGGGGCTATGGAATTGGATATGCTCAACTACCCCTCCCTAGAGCACATTTTATTTCATGCCTGTTGAACTTTGCTAATATCTGATGCCAACAGCCTCCTCCGCCGCACCAAAAACCGGAAAATGTCCTGAAGCGCGCCCACGAGCTCATCGGGGTCAATCAGGCCCCTGCGGCCTTGACCCTGCTGCATGAGCACATCACCAGCAAGCGCTCTCGCAGCGTCCCGATCGTATCGCTCGAACCTGTTATGATTCTCTTGGTCGAGCTCTCCGTCGAGCAAAAGAAGGGAAAGCTAGCCAAGGATGCTCTATATCAGTACAAGAACATCTCCCAAAACACGAATATTGGCACTATCGAGGTATGGAATTGCAAACCAGGGTTTCATTTGCAACAATGAGCTAATGAAGGAGGTATAGCTGGTCCTCAAGAAATTTATCGAGCTCGCTGTGGGTAAGGTCACTGCCGCTCAGGCCAAGGCCGACGAAGTCCAGTCGACAATCGAAGCCACCACCGCTACATCCAACGTCGACGACCTGGAGGCTACCGAGACTCCCGAATCCATCCTCCTCGCCACCGTCTCTGGTGAGCAGTCCCGCGACCGTACCGACCGCGCCATCGTCACTCCTTGGTTGAAGTTCCTGTGGGAGGCCTACCGTACTGTCCTGGACATCCTCCGCAATAATGCTAGGCTCGAGATCCTATATCAGAGTACTGCCATGCAGGCCTTCGACTTCTGCCTGAAGTACACTCGCAAGACTGAATTCCGAAGACTTTGCGAACTTCTCCGAAACCATGTGCAGACGGCAGCAAAATACTCGTCCCAGATGCATGCCATCAATCTCAACGACCCAGATACTCTCCAGCGTCATCTCGAGACTCGATTCCAACAACTTAACGTGGCCGTCGAGCTGGAGCTCTGGCAGGAAGCCTTCCGCAGCGTTGAAGATATCCACACTCTTCTCAACCTCAGCAAGCGACCCCCCAAGAATGTCATGATGGCCAACTACTACGAGAAACTTACGCGTATCTTCCTCGTGGGAGAGAACTACCTCTTCCACGCTGCTGCCTGGTCTCGATACTACACTCTCCTCCGCCAGTCCGCAGCCCTGGTGGCCGCCGGCCAGGGCAAGAAGGCTGACAACCCTCCCGCTTCTGATGCTGATTTGCAGAAGGCTGCTTCCTTTGTCCTTCTGTCAGCTCTGGCCATCCCTGTCATCAGCACCTCGCGATCTCGAGGTGCCATGGTCGACTTCGACGAGGCCAGGAAGAACAAGAATTCTCGCCTGACACACTTGTTGGGCATGAACCAGGCCCCTACCCGCTCGCGCCTCTTCAAGGATGCTCTGTCCAAGTCTCTTCTTCAGCGTGCCCGCCCCGAGATCCGCGACCTCTACAACATTCTTGAGGTTGACTTCCACCCGCTTTCCATTTGCAAGAAGATTTCTCCTATTCTCACTAAGATTGGAGCCGATGCTGAGATGGAGAGGTATGTTGTGCCTCTGCAGCAAGTCATTCTCACGAGACTGTTCCAGCAGTTGTCGCAGGTGTACGATACCGTGGATTTGAGCTTTGTGGAGAGCCTGGCACAGTTCCCTGAACCGTACCAGGTGTCCCGCAGCACCATCGAGAAGTTCATTATGAACGGTAATAAGAAGGGCGATCTTTCTATTCGCATGGATCATGCCACTGGTGTCTTGAGCTTCGATAACGACGTGTTCTCATCAGCCAAGGCCGGCCACAGTGGTGCTGGAGCAGGCTCTGCTGAGTCTGAGACAGGCACCGTCCAACGCCTGCAGAGCACTCCCTCCGAGATTGTTCGTTCTCAACTCACCAGACTTGCCCGCAGCCTTTACACTACGTGCCATTACATTGACCCCGAGTTCAACAAGGAACGCTTGGCAGCTCGAAATGCCGCGCTGGCCCGAGCAAAGGCGGGTGCCGAGCAGGAGCACCTCGACACAATCGCTCGCAAGGAAGTCATCCAGAAGCGCAAGGAAGAAGCCTCTGAACTCCAGGCTCGACGTGAAAAGGAACTTTCCCGCCAGAAGCGACTCCGTGAGCAGCAGCTTCAGGAGGCTGAGGACAAGCGTCTGGCTGATGAACAGAAGGAGCGTGAAGAAAAGCGTATGAAGGCCGAGCACGATCGTGTCCGCAAGGAAGAGCTTAAGAAGCAGATTGCCGATCTCAAGATGAATGACAAGGCCCTTGACATTGATCTTGATGACCTGGATAACCTGGACAGCAACCGTCTTCGAGCCATGAAGCTTGCACAGCTTGAAAGGGAGAAGAACGATGTCAATGAAAGACTCCGTATTACTGGCAAGCGCATCGACCATCTTGAGCGTGCTTTACGTAAGGAGGAAGCCAAGAAGTTGAACATTGACTACGAGGCGCAAATCGCCGAAGACCGAAAGATCTACGAAACCGTCAAGGCCAAGACCCTTAAGGAAGCTGAGGAGAAGCATGCCGCCAGCGTTGAGCTCAAGCACCGACTTAGCCGTCTGGTTCCTCTTTACGAGGGCTTCCGATCGTCCCTTCATGAGCGACGCCGCGATGAGTTTGAGAAGCGTCGTAGGGATGCCGAGCGTGAATTGGAGAAGCAGATTAACCTCCGAAAGAAGGAGCACCGAGATCGCAAGCTCCGTGAGAAGAGGGAACGTGAAGAGAGGGAACGACAGCTGCAGGAGGCTGAAGAGCGCGCTGCTCGTGAGAAGGAGGAGCAGCGTCTCCGTGAGGAGGCCAAGAGGGCCGAACTTGCCAAGCTCAAGGAACAGCGCGAAAAGGAGCGACAGGAGACGCTGGAGAAGGCCGCCCTCCAGCAACGTCGTGAGGAAGAAGCTCTCGCCCGTCGCAAGGCTGAGAGGGAGAAGCCAGCCCCAGCCCCCGCCCGCGCACCAGAGCGTGTACCAGAGCGTGGCCAAGCTACCGAGGGCCGAAAACCTCCAGTTGTTGGATCCGGCAAGTGGCGTGAGCGCGAAGCTGCAAAGCCTGAAGACGCCCCTCCCCCCGCTCGTGGAGCTCCTCTCGAGCGAACAGATTCCAACGAGCGCTCCTCCGGTGGACCCCCCCGCCTGCAGCTCGCCGGCAGCAAGCCCAGTTGGCGCGAGCGTGAAGCCGCAAAGGCTTCTGGCGGTGGTACCCCGGCTGGCGCCTCTGACAGCGCACCACCACCACCAAGGAGGTTCGAGCCTCGCGGCGGGGCTCCCATGGACCGCTCTGGTTCCGGCCGGGGCGACAACAACCGGGCGGAGCCTCCTGCTCCGGCTGAGAATTTGCCTCCCTCACGGACTGCCGGTAAGTGGGTTCCCCCTCACCTGCGAAACAAGCAGTAGGCTAGGGTGATGAATGAGGTATGCACTGGCGTTTCCGGAAAGGTATGATTGCACTTTTGAGGTGGATGTATTCTAGAGCTCAGTATAGTCTACCTTGAATGAGGAATGAGCCCGTGAGAATGGAAAAAGGAAGTAGTCGCATTCTATATAAGCAAAATTTGTCTTTTCATTTTTGATAATTCTACAAATCTCTTCAGATGGTCCATAAGATTTGATTTCTCGACACATGGTGAAATAGCTTGAAAAATGACAACAGGCAAGCTAAGTCGAAATACTAGGATTATCATTTCCAGCCACAATCAGAACGAACATCTTAACACGCCCACTAGACAATCTATATGAAAGGCCGCGTAATAGGAAATTGGTTTATGCCTTGTTGGTTAACGAACCAACACGCGCACGACGCCGGTATAGGGTAACGGATGGGACCAAGACAACTAGGTAAGGGTTACCTAGAAAATCGTTTGGCGTGAACCCAACATCTGATGACTTTCCTATTCAACTACTGTAATATTATCACAAAAGATGGACTGGATTCAAGAGTTGGCAGCAACCTTGAGAGATGTGCCGCCGTCTCAAATCTGCCAGGCTTTCTTCGTCTTTGCATCTATCACAATCATCACGATCCAAACTCTACCAACCACCTACCGCCAAGCGTTGATGGACTATGGAGCTCGTTTGGAGAACGACTCTAGACAGAGCCTTCTTGCCCGGCTTCTGGACTGCCTCCAGGTGCCTCATTCGTGGTTTCTTCACTTCTACATCCTCTCAGTGAGCCTGTCCGCTTTCTGGGGCTGGCAATATGTCACCAGGGGCACTGTGCTGAGATACATTGCGTCGGCCCAAGTCGCCGCAGGAAATACACCTTCTATGGATATCTCCCAGGTGTATGTTGCATGGGCTCTGATGGCCCTCCAAGGGACTCGGAGGCTCTACGAGAGTCTCTTTGTGACTAAATCGGGAAGTTCACCAATGTCCAGCCTTCACTGGCTGATGGGCCTGCTCTATTATGCATCCATGAGCGTCTCTGTCTGGGTAGAGGGTTCAGGTAAGTCCTCAAAGGCGAGCGTGAATGATTTAGGCCCGGGCTTACGATTTCTCTCCCCTAAACAAAAGGCGCGATCATCAACTCATGGGAGGACGAACGGATCATCTTCCGCCCCCCAAAGCGACTTTCCCTCGGAGTTGCTCTTTTCACGGCTGGGTGGTTGAAGCAGCAGCAGTGCCACAAATACCTGTCCGGTCTCAAGAAGTATACGCTTCCCGACCAAGGCTGGTTCAAATACATCGTCTGCGCCCATTATGCCAGCGAATGTCTTCTGTATCTTGGTTTGTGTGTTTTGGCTACACCTTCGGGCCAGCTTTTCAACAATACCATCCTGCTGGGCCTTTTGTTTATTTCGATCAATCTGGGTACGACGGCCAAGGGTACGAAAGAATGGTATGCTCAGAAGTTCGGTGCTGAGAAGGTAGACCCTAAATGGAGGATGATTCCGTTTGTCTGGTAGATATCTCGATGACTGTGAGAGCGTTGAGGCTCAGAGGGCATGCGCCGCATTTATGAACTATTCTAGCGACTTCATCCATCGGGGAATGATATGGGGGAAGCCCTACTGCGAGGGTTTCTGGGAGAACCATCATTCAAACTAGCTGGACTTGGAAGAGAGCCAACCGTGATGGAAGTCTCGCTTTCTTACATGGCAAAGTCATCATCGCCCTGAAGTTCGACTGCATTTGCCTCGATCTTACGTATGTATACAGACTGGTTCGTTGAGGAATTGGTACATGTCAGTTCAAGTCTGCTGCCGTCTACGAAAAATTGATATCGCGGGACAACACGGGGTGGAATTTAACGAATGTAGCTCAGCACGCGGATCCGGGTATGTAGATGCACGACATATCTTGCCTGCTTCCTGTCTAACCACGAGATTGACTTTTTCTTCCTTTTCGTATTCCATCTCGTTTCTTTGTCTATAGCCTTATGCCTTATGCCGAGGTAAGACTCATGTAGTATTCCTATCTGGCTTAGGTCACATCCGAGAGTTTTCAATTCGGAAAATTGGGGGCCAAGTGCCCTCTCGTTAAAAGGCAAGGTTCCAAGGCAGTTTCCTCTTGTCTCAAAAGCTTTGGAGAGTTCTTCAAGATTTGAAGAGTGGATTGAGTCCAAGGCGGGACACCTTCAGCACATCCCGATATGTGAGGCTAGTGCGTGTCTCGCGGATGTTTATTCCATCCGCGAAAGTATCTGGGGATTTGAGTAAGGGCCAATTAACAATGGATTCGGGCGAGAGGGCAACGTCCTCATCAATGTCGGCAATCCCATGCAAGTAGTCAGTGTAGAGCGACCGGGTGGTTATGAGAAGACTACGCGGCTCCTGCAATATTCTCCAGACAGGTTCCGGATCGATTGCGCCGTCTTCTTTACTACGATAGAGATTGAGACATAGGCTGGCTCCTAAGCTGACGGTACATACCACCGGCCAGTAAGCTGCACCGTCCTGTGGTAGATCAGCATGATGCGTCGTTTGCATTCATCGTCCCTGGAGATTTGGCAGAAAGGTCAGGTACATAACTTATGCGGCATGATGCCAATGCCGGGTGGATATTCATTTATAAGGACATGATTTGGACGCTTGTGCGGGCTTGCATCAAAGAGGTGAATTGCTTCTGTGTCTGAACAGGGAAGCGATAGCAGTCTTGAAATGACGGGATCCTCAAGCCACGAGGGAAGAGAGGCGCTCAAAAGTCGATTCTGTACTAGCTCAGAGGGCCAGGCTTGCAGTCTCCGGTGCGTGAGTTGTTTCCATCTTGGCCTTGGTACGGAAGCAATCTACCGTGCACACGCGCGTTAGCCTGGGAGGGCGAGAGAACAAGGGAGCATCTGGTTCTGGCGTCGCTGAGCATACTTTGCTGAGCAAGGCCTGCTCTTCATCTTTGCTGATGAAATTGGGCAGGTAGAAGGCGGACTCGGGGAGGTCAGCAATCCTGGCATGCTCGAGCGATGGTGGTAATTGAAAATCTTGCTGATCATCCATTGCCGGTCACAATAAGGCACAGGGGAGCGACGCGCGGGGAGACGCTATGTAAGAAGAGGCAGAGGGGGGGCTGAGCCAAGGCAGGCGGGATGGAAAAAAGCTCGAATCCAATACGACCTCAGCTGGAAAAAGGCGTTGCAGCAAGCAAGGATACACGCTTTTGTTGGTTTTGTTTGTTGATAGCACAGAGGGCCGAGGAGGGGCGAGGGGCCACTGGCTGGCTCTAGTCGGGCTGCCAAGTGGAGGTGGCAGTGGCGGCCAACCCACCCGGCGGCCCTCATTGTCCCTAAAAGAAAGCGATGGTGACGGGAAGATACAGTGCATTCATTTCCTGGGTACCGTATGCAGGAAGTACCGAGTGATGGTAGCAACGCCTTGCTGCAGCCTGCAACAGGTGTCCTTTTGGGCAGGCAGTCGGTCTCCCGCACAGTCAGACTGACGCAGGCCGGCCTCTCTCTCTTGGCCCGCTCATTCTGCGAGAATTGTGCCTGGTGCTCGCTTTGGACCTGTGTTGGGACGCATGTTGGTACCTGCCAGATCGTGATGAGCCCGGGCAGAGTAGCACGGTCGAGAGGTACTAAATGGCAGGGTACCTCGTTGATGACGCCTGGACCAAGCACCTAGCTCCTCTTCTAATAATGAAATGCGACCTCCTGCGTTGTGCTTCCAGGTTTGGGAGGGGCGAGTGCAGGGTGTGCTTAGTCACTCGGGACCACAGGCCAATCACAGGCGGTCCAGCAGTGGCGATCAGACTTTTGTCTCTGCATGGGCACGGGCTATATGCAGTCTAGCGCCTCTAGGCTGTTTCGCCCGTCTGTCGTCTGGGCGAACCCAGCCCAGTCCCCCGTTTGCAGCAACTGAACTCTAGTCTCTAACCTTCACACACTCCCACGCCTCAGCCGAATGGTGCATCGACTTCGGCATTTCATCCCAAGCATCAATCATTTTCCTAGTCTCTGCGGCATCTCTTTTCGAGTCTGATATCCCTAGTTTGCTTGCTTCTCGTTTTTGGATCCTGCTCGACTTGCCTTGCCCTCGACGGTGTTGGCCTGGTCTTCCCAAATTGATTTCTGACGACCTCCCCAGTTGCAGTCCTCGACGGCTGCTCAATCCGCCTCTCACTTGCTCAGGTCCGCGCCGACCTTGAATCGCTACGCGAGTAGCTTCGACTGCGGATCCTGACAAACCCGACGACGCGATCCAATCAATCGCCGCCACCTCGTCTCCGACAACAAATCGCTTTGCTCTATCCAGGATGTTGGCTGTCGCCCGCGATTCCAACAGATAAATAGTGACATGGATGCGCAGAATGCTGCCGATACAGACCAGACAAAGCGAGCTGGATCTCCGTCCAAGCAGCCCGAGCAGCGCGAAAGCTCTGACCCCAAGTCACCGAAAAGCATCCTAAAGGTAAAGCCCGAGTTACCCGCCAACGAGATCAAGGCAGATACCCCCGTGAATACCGGTGCCGGCGATCGTGACTCTGATGCTGAGACTGTTGTGCTACCCGGGAAGGACGGCTACTCCCCGTCCAAAGTTCGCAAGGTCAGACAAGAGGACAGAAGTGATCATGACGGAGATGGATCCAAGGACAACGGACCACCGCGCAAGCGCGACGGTGGTGGGGAACACCATGCCAGCGCTGGCCGGATCGATGGAATCTCGAGGGATATCAAGAAGAAGCGTCCGTCCAACTCACACGACAAGGAAAAGGAGAGATCAGGGCTCAGTAAGGATGGCTCAAGTGGTCTTAGCTCAGCACCAACGTCGCCGCGTCCCCTGCCTCAGTCGCGACGCCGACGCTCTCTTAATAGCTCCTTGTCGCTCTCTGATTCCGAAGATCATCGCCAGAAGGCGGCTACGTCAAAGTCATCGCTACGAGAGAAATTCAAGTCGGGAGAACGATTGCTACCACATAAACGCAAGGCGCCGCGCACTGAATCTGACGATGAGGATGACAACCGCAAACCCCGCCGTCCTCGCACCATAAGCGCAACTATGGAGATGACAAGGCCCTCGAAGGATCACCGAGCTAACCCTTCGAAGAGTGATGCCCACCATCGTTCTACTTCGCCGCCCCATCGAACACACCGGAGAAGTGTTTCTACCCAACTGCCATCACAATCATCCAATGGCTCAAACCTGAAGAAGAAGCGTTTGCCTGCGCCCCTGCAACCCCCGGACGACATTTCAGATGAATCATCTGCGAGTGGTAGCCCTCATTTGCGCAATGCAAAATTGAGGAGCCTAACAACGCCGTCTACCACCGAATCGCTTGTCTCTCCTGCCAAGGCTCTGTCTCACAAAAAGCACCTCGATGCTCATGGCCAAACTCTCTTGGCTCGAGCCTGTGCCCGAGGAGAGTACGATGCTGCTAAGTTCCGCTTGAAGGATAGACCTGAAGATTTAAATGTCGCCGATTACGCTGGCAATACCCCTCTTCAAATTGCTGCAATTAATGGTTGCGAGGATATCGTTCAGCTCTTGATTGAAGCTGGTTGCAATCTTGATTGTGTTAACTATGACAAGGATACACCTCTCCTAGACGCCGTAGATAATGGCCATCTTGGAGTTGTTAAGCTTCTGCTGGACGCTGGCGTGAACCCTCGGAAAGCGAATGTGAATGGGGAAGAGCCTATCGATCGAGTGACAGAAGAAACCGATAACGCCGACGAGATTCGTGCTGCGCTGGTCGAAGCGAAAAAACGGTTTGGTGGGCGGACAAAGACCTCGGAGGACCGGCATTCCCATCACGATTCTCATGAGCAACGCGACTCTCATGCCCCTGAGTCACCCCGGCAATTATCGACGCAGGCTAGCAACCGACGTGGTGGTACAGTTCGGTCAACAAAGACGAGAAATGATTTACTCTACATGCCCTTGGACGACAAGACGTTACGACAAGCTGCCGGGCGTGGCGATGAGGAGACAGTAGCTCGAATACTTCAGGTAAAGGACAACTGCGATGATGCAGAATCGATGGTGGCAGCAGCTCGAGGTGGTCATGACTTAGTGATGCAATTGCTTCTGGGTTTGGGAGGGGCCAAAGCCGACCCAGAGCCTGTCCCATCCCAGCCCGAAGAGTTTGCGACGCCTATTCTCGCCGCTATTGGCCAAGAAAACCTAAACGTCGTGGAGTTGCTTTTGGAACAACAAAATTTTGATCCTACGAAACGTTTCAAAGGCGAAACATACTACGAAATCGCCAAGCGCCGCCAAGGAACGAACTGGAAAGAAGAAGAACAACTCTTGAAAAACGCTTACGATGCTCACAAGAACTCACACAAGTCTAAACTAAAGTCTCCTGGAAAGCGTGAACGTGACCGGGAGAGAGAGGAGAAGCGGGCGAGACGGGAAGAAAGGAGCGAAGGGCGTCCCTCGAAACGGCGCAATTCAAGCCCGACTGTTGATGGCGAACATCGCAAGAAACCTCTGCCAGCAAAACTGCCCAGCCCCAGGGAACGCAAGAAATCCGACCCACAACCATCAGCTGCAGAGGAGACCAGATTGAAACGAGGTCCTGTCCGAACTAAGGAGGAAAAGCTTTCTTCTGTGATAGTTTCAGATCGGGAAGCGTCACCATCAATTTCTCAAAAGTCTATTAAGGCTAAGCGTGCCGAATCTGATCTAGCCGCCATGTCGTCCGAAGGAGAAACGGCGAAGCCTAGAAGGAAGCTTATTTCCAAGGGCGAATTAAGGGGTGAACGTGATAAGCGCGATAAACATAGACGACCAAGCATGGTTTCCAATGCTTCTTTCAAGGAACCTTCCAGCCCTCACGATTCGAGACATGACGATTCTACTGATAAGCAGAAATTATCTGAGAAGTATCATGATAGGGCAAAGGCTTTGAAGCGTGACGAATCAAAGGACCGCCCAATTGGATCCAGCGATGGCACAGGAAAGCGACACCGGGCCAGTCTCACCCCCGATCGATCTGGCAATGTGGATAAGGAAGAGACCGAAAAACCTGCCAAGCGACAACGTCTGGATGGCGAAGCTTTGGAGCGGAAGCAAAAACGCTTGTCTTCAGATGAACATGTGCGCAAATCCGGCGTAAGCCACGAAGGCTCCAAATTGGCCTCCAAGAACAAGAGAGACTCTGAAGAATCCAAAGCAAGCCACCCTCAACGTGAGCGCAAAGATTCTAACCGGTCCAACCATATTCATGATAGCATTCAAATCAAGTCGGAGGATATTGATGTTGAAATGATCAATGTCGACCAGGGAGAGGACGAGCCACGATCGGATGATGCAGCTCAAGACCAAGACGTCGAGAATAAGAAGGCTGCCATTGCTAAGAAGGCAAAGGAAGAAGAGGAACGCCAGCGTGCGGAGGCCGAGGAAGAGAAGAAACGACAGGAGGAGAAGAAGCGGCTAGATGAAAAGAAGCGTCAGGCCGAGGCCGAGGCAGCTCGAAAAACCAAGGAGGCTGAAGAGGCGGAGAAGAAGAAGAAATTAGAGGAACAGAAAGCAGCTG